TACAATAATAGAGAAAGCCCAGAGGAGCAACAGACTAAACTAAGAGATGGGCAGACCCGAAATTTGGCTAAGATCCCACTGGCTACAACCATGGATGACCCACAGGAAAAACGGAGGCACCTCAAGAAGCTGACTTCAGGGACAGGTAAGGAGGATGGCCCTGGTCCCTGATGGGAGCACCCTAAACTAAACAAAAACCAATGTGCTTATTGCAAGAGAGAAGGCCACTGGGTGAAAGACTGCCCTAACAAAATATCTAAGACCCCTGCCAAGATATTGGAGATGGAGGACCTGGACGACTAGGGGAGTTGGGGTTCAGTACCCCTCCCCAAGCCCAGGGTAACTCTCAGAGTGGAGGGGCAACCAGTTGAATTTCTAGTGGACACTGGGGCACAACATTCGGTCTTATTACAACCCCAGGGGAAATTGGCGAGCAAGACCTCATGGGTTCAAGGGGCCACGGGGACCAAACAGTACTCATGGACTACCCGAAGAACTGTGGACCTCAGCATGGGCCGGGTATCCCACTCCTTCATGGTCATCCCTGAATGTCCCTACCCGTTGTTAGGTCGGGATTTGCTCACCAAGATGGGGGCACAAATTTGCTTCTACCCCAGAGGGGCAAAAATCCTAGACAAAGAAGGGCAACCGATTCAGGTGCTTGTCCTGAGTTTGGAAGATGAATATCGTCTCCACCAGATGCCCCCAGTCCCAATGACTGACATTGACTGTTGGCTACAGGAATTTCCTCAGGCATGGGCAGAAACTAGGGGAATTGAGCTGGCCCAACACCAACTGGCTATATACATAGAACTAAAACTGGGGGCAGACCCTGTCAGGGTCCGCCAATACCCCATGCCTCTCGCGGAGCAAATGGGAATCACGCCCCACATACGGCGACTACTAGACTCAGGCATATTAAGGCTCTGCCAATCGTCATGGAACAGTCCCTTGCTGACAGTGCGAAAACCGCACTCTAACAATCACAGGCCAGTCCAGGACTTAAGGGAAGTCAACCGGCGAGTAATGGATGTGCACCCCACGGTCCCAAAGCCATACACCCTCCTCTCTACGTTTCCTCCAGACAAAAATTGATATACAGTATTAGATTTAAAAGGTGCCTTTTTCAGCCTGCCTTTAGCACCCAAGAGCCAAGACCCTTTTGCCTTTGAATGGACGGACCCTGAGAAAGGCGTCAATGGCCAACTCACCTGGACTCGACTACCAGAAGGATTCAAAAACTCACCAACCATCTTCGACGAGGCCTTACACGAAGACTCGGGTGAGTTCGTTCTGAGCACCCTCATTTGACCTTATTGCAATATGTAGATAATATCCTGCTGGTGGAGGAGGACCAGGACACTTGCCTGCCAGGCACCAAGGACTTAATCCAGACCATAGCGGCTCTAGGATACCAGGCCTCAGCCAAAAAGGCCCAAATCTGCAGAGCAGAGGTGAGCTACCTGGGGTACAAATTAAAGGATGGACAAAGATGGTTGACGGATGCGCGGAAGGAAACCGCCCTAAGGATCCCACAGCCGCAAACTGTCTGTCAGGTACGTGAATTCCTGGGGTCGGCAGGGTTCTGTTGATTATGGATTCCGGGTTTTGCCAAGATGGCCAGACCCCTCTATGAGGCCACCAGGCACCAACAAAATTTTGAATGGACAGAGGCCATGAACAAGGCCTTTAATGACCTTAAACAGGCCTTGCTGTCTGCCTCAGCTCTCGGGTTGCCTGACCTAACCAAGCCCTTCTACCTGTATGTAGACGAGAAAGACAGGGTGGCAAAAGGGGTCCTTGTCCAGTACATAGGTCCCTGGAAAAGACCCATAGCTTATCTCTCTAAAAAGCTGGACATGGTGGCCGCTGGATGACCCCCATGCTTAAAAATTATTGCCGCGGTGGCCACTATGGTCAAGGATGCAGACAAGCTAGCCATGGGGCAAGAACTATATGTTACCACCCCACATGCTATTGAAGGGGTACTCAAACAGCCCCCAGACCGCTGGATCAGGAATGCTTGTCTGAGCCTACTGCTCAGACATTATCAGAGCCTACTGCTAAACCCCACCAGAATTTTATTCAAGCCACCTACAACCCTGAATCCTGCAACGCTACTCCCTAACCCAGACTGGGACCCCCCTCTGCATAACTGTCATAAGATTTTGGCACAGGTGCACGGAATCAGGGCTGATCTCTGGGACCGGCCACTGCCGATCGCGGACGCCACCTGGTATACGGACAGTAGCGGTTTTTTCTGAGAAGGAATCAGATACGCGGGGGCAGCCGTAACCACAGAGACGGAGATCATCTGGGCAGAGCCATTGGCAGCCGGAACATTGGCTCAACGGGCAGAACTGATCACCCTGGACAAGGCACTAACCATGGGAAGAAGGTAAATGAATAAACATTTACACCGACAGCAGGTACGCCTTTGCCACCACTCATATCCACGGAGCCCTTTACAGAGAGAGAGGGCTTCTGACAACAGAGGGAAAGACTATTAAAAACAAAATAGAGATTCTTGAACTCCTAAGGGCCTCTGGCTGCCCAAGGCACTAGCTATCATCCACTGTCCAGGACACCAAAAAGCAAACACACCAGTAGCCAGGGGAAACCGGCTAGCTGACTCAAAAGCAAAGGAGGCAGCCCTTTCGGTGACCCAGGTTTTAACAACCACGCTACCCGATCCGGGGGCACCGACCCTGCCGGACACCCGCAACTATACTGGCACTGACCTACAACAGATTAAACGCTTGCCTATGACCCAACGCTTACATGGCTGGTGGAGGGCCACAGACTCCAGCATCATCCTGCCAGAGGAACTAGGACGACGAGTCTTATCCAAAATGCGTCGGAGTACTCATATGGGAACAAAAAAGATGGAAGACCTCATACAACATGCTAAGATCATTATTAAAGACTCTTGAGCAAAGATCCAGCAGATTGTGGCAAGCTGCCATGCATGCCAGGTAACCAACACCACCACCCATGGGTCTAACCCAGGAACCCGACTCAGGGGAGACCGCCCAGGAGCATACTGGGAAGTAGATTTCACTGAGGTAAAGCCTGGAAAGTATGGGTACAAGTACCTGCTAGTTTTCATAGATACCTTTTCAGGGTGGATGGAGGCATTCCCCACCAAGCACGAAACCGCACAAATCGTGACCAAAAAGCTGCTGGAGGACATTCTGCCAAGGTATGGATTTCCTGCCAGGATCGGATCCGACAATGGACTGGGGTTCATTTCTAAGGTAACACAGGGAGTAGCACAAATACTGGGGGGCAGATTGGAAATTATATTGTGCTCACAGACCCCAGAGCTCAGGTCAGGTAGAGAGGATGAATAGGACATTAAAAGAGACCTTAACTAAATTAAATTAGCCTTGGAGACTGTCAGGGACTGGGTCACTCTCCTCCCCTTTGCCCTATATAGGGTGAGAAACTCACCATATAAGATGGGACTGACTCCCTACAAAATCACGTTTGGTATACCCCCACCTATCATGCCTGCCTTGAAACCCAAAGTGCTTGCTCACTTCAATGACCAACAACTTCTCTTCTCCCTCCAAATGTTACAAAGAGCCCATGAGCAGGTGTGGCCAAAGTGAGGGCCCTCTACGAGACCTGACCCCCATCGATATCCACCAGGCAATTGGGTGTATGTGCGGAGGCACCAACAGCAGACATTCTAACCTCAATGGAAAGGACCCTACATTGTAATCCTGACCACGCCCACCGCTCTCGAGGTCGACAGAATAATTCCCTGGGTCCACTACACCCACGTCCAGCCAGCTGATCCACATGCAGTCCTCAAGGACTTTGTTCCAGAATGGAAGAGTCAGCCCAACAAGGACAATCCCTTAAAGCTAAGGCTGCATCGCTCCCACTTACCCTGCTAATATTACTTGTGCTGTATCCCCAACCGCACCCCCCACTAACCATTTAATCTAACCTGGCAAATCATCACCCCAAGCCCTAACCCATGATTGGGTCCTGCATAGGATCCTCTGGAAAAGGGGGGAACGTGGGACCCAAGGAATTTAACAAAAATTCCCTGCCCCTGGACAAGCAGAGCAAGACTAACTCCATTTTGTGCTACACCCACCATCTCATGTATAACCCCCACATGACCTACTTATTGCTTAAGACACTCCCCCACCCTAGTCAAGCCGCTGAGCACACCCTTACTGGAAACCAGCTCATATAGGAATGCGGAACCCCTAACCGCCAAAGAATGTAAACCCTGCCTTTTGTCCGCCAAACTTGCACACCAATTCTTAAACCCCGCCTTTTGCCTGCCAAACTTGCACGCCAATTCTGACCAGAGTGATAGGCTAGTTAAAACAGTTACTATAGGGTAAATTGTAATTCAATTGGCCACCTGCGTTTGGACTCACATGACTATGAAATTTCCTGTGTGTGTTACAATCTCATTGGCCACTGGTCCCTATAAAACTGCTATGCCTTTTAACCTAGGGGTCCAAGTCCCTGCTCCACTGTGTCGGGCATACTTGGGCCCAAGCTCGAGCTTGCAAACAAACCCTCGTGCGTTTGCATCTGTATTGGCTCCTTGGTGGTCTCTCAGATTTGAAATCGGGGGCATTACAGTATGCAGTGGAAATAAATAAATAAAATATCTTAGTTGTTTACAAGAAAAGCTTATCTGTATCTTCATGTTATACAAGTCAAATACTTTTCTGCTCACATCTTCTTCATTTTAGTAACCAAGCTATAGAAACAACCTCTGAAATACACCATTGCCACTATTGTGATAGAAGATAGTAATGTTGGGTCCATGAAAAGGCTATCAAATTTCATGCTTGAATATTGCCTATTGCACGTAGACTTAAGATTCTTTGAACAAAGCAAGTCACATGGTCAAGACTGATGTCACTCTGTACGAATTCACCTATTACAAAGAAAGGTAGCAAATATTTGGGAAAAAGAGTATAATTTTATAGTAACACTAATAGACCATAGTCCTACAAGAAAAGCCTGTTGGTCATATTTTCTCTACCAAAATTTTTTCTTCCTTTGGTCTATAGATTTCTTATGGAGATATTGTACAACATACCTTATATTTGTGGTTTTGACAATACATTCTATTGATTCTGCCATTTTTAGTTACATTTTAAGGCTATATTTCTAGTCTTATTCCAGTTAATAATTGTTATATTCTCTAAGTAGAATTGTTAATTTCATCAGCATAGAGACCTGTAATCTCTAGGGAAGATTTTGGCCATAGATTGTTTTGATATTAATTTGAAACTATATATTACTATCCAAGGTGGCATTTTTTTAAAATTTTATTTTGATATTTACTTGATGTCTTAGTTCAGGCTACTATAACAAAAATAGCATAGACTGAGTAGCTTCACCAGCAACACTGTATATCACAGTTCTGAAGGTTAAAAAGTCCAAATCAAGGCACCTGCAGATTCCATGTCCAGTGAGGACCACTTCCTGGATTGAAGATGGTCTTCTCACTATATCCTCAGATGGCTGAGAAAAATCATCTTTCTGCTGTCTCTTTCTATAAGGAAACTATTAACCTCATGGCCTAATTATCTCCCAAAGGTCCCACTTCTAAAAACCATCATATCGGGGATTAGACTTCAACATGAATTTTGGGGGGAAGACATTCCATTCATAGCCCTTGGTATTTACTTTTACATGTTTTTAATTTTATTTAATTAATTTCACTGAATGACATTTAAAAACTAATGCCTTTTGTAAATAATATACAGCAGTATTATCTTAATCTGATACCTTTGGGGAGGCAATTATCCATGGTGTATCTATTCAATTCAGATTCTCTTCAAGGGTATTTGCACAGCAGCACAGTAGATAGTCTACGAAATTATAGTGTCTCCCTCTAAGTTAGAGGGTAGACTTATTTACATTCTAGAATAGTAGTCTCCCTCTTCACATAGGCAGTTTGCTTATATACAGGGCAATAGATATAATATCTACTTGGGAGAAAGAGGTGGGCAGATGTGACAATAGCCCTTTATAAAATTAGGATTTTCCAATGCCTGGGGTTCATCAGCTGTGATAGAGATCCACTTGGGCCCACTCTTAAATAATCCCCAGTCTTCCCATAGGAGATAAGAATAATTTATACCAATATGGATTTGTAGTGCCAGTGTACAAGACTCACAGCCACACTGTGGCTTAGAAATTACTTGATCATTTGAGATGGAAGGTTTTTTTTGCATCTCGCGTCCATGAAATACAGCTAGATCAACACTAAACCATCCCACACACCTGGAAAACTGATTTGAGGATTGATATAACAATCTGACAACCTAAACCACAGAACTCAGAGGTACGTGGAGTAGAGAGGTGAACTGAAGGAATGAGAAGCCGCAGAGGGCAGGGAGCTGCTTTTGCTTGCAGAGAGAGGATGGAGATGGCGGGGGTGGGGGGGTGGGGGGAGGGGAGAGTACGGGAAAAGCACCTCCCCAAAAGCACCTGGAGAGAAAGTAGAAAAGTGGAAACAGCTGCAGGGACTGAAATACAAAGGGAGAAAGGAGAGGGGTTAAATTCCATTAAGACTCTACTAACAGGGGTAGCACAGAGTCTGAAACTCTGCAGTTCAATACCTAGTGGTGCTCTGGTGAGAGGGGCAAATCCCAGGAGCAGATGGAGGTCCGGGGGTCCTCAAGCCACACAGGGAGAGATGATTCCCCTGCTGGGAGGACATTTGGTAGAGGCTGTGTGGCCACCCCACAGGCAAAGGTCCCAGGAGACCCCAAAGAACAACCACATTTGCTGGTGCTGGAACAAGGTCATTAAGGGTGAAGCCTGGCACCAGATATGTGCTGTGATTTTTCCATAATCCCTGAAACGGTGCTGCTACATGATCGCATGAACTTTTTCTAGAGTGGACTGGCACCCAGCCGCAGTGTCTGGGCATTGGCAGCAGTGTGGTCCCATGAGTGCTCTTGGGTGCAGGTAGCACCCACCCATTGATCGGTGAGACCCTGCCCCAGAAGGTCTGAGTGGGTCAAAGCCACAGTCCCTCAGAAGTGAAGGGTTGGGAAACAGCCACATCTGATATAAAACCCAGGAGGGAGGTGCCACCTGGCAACCTGACAGCTTGATCACAGACAGTGTTAAAGCGGGGAGTGGACGCAAGCCAGCAACAAAGGACAGTTGTGCAACAGCTAATCAGGGAGAACAGAGTTCTGATACTAGAGAATGGGTTGCTGGGTGACGCCATTTTCACCCTTCCCAAGCATGCACATACACATACACACCTATAAGCAGCACAACTATCCACACCAATAAGCTAAGGAGCACCATCTAGTGGGGAATGGAGCTGTTACACTAACCCCACCCAACTGGGCCAACCTTGCTCTTCAGAAACACCACAAGTCTCTCCACCTACTTAGTTTACAGACTATAAGTTGCTTCATAATTTGACTTCTAGGAGAAAACTATGTAAGTTGAATCGTATTTTGGTTTGTTCCCTGGTCCATCTATTCAATTTTCTTTTTTTTTTTCATTTATTTTCTTTTTCTTGATACAGAAAGAAAAAAATTTATTTTTATTTTCAATTTTTATTAAAAGTATTTTTATTTTTTTCTACTATATTTTTTACTTTTTTGTAAATTTCTCAAATTCTATTTTACTTCCATCATTTCATTTTATTCTATTTCATTATATTCATTTTTCAAATTTTCATTTTCCTTTTTTTCGTTTTTTTAAATTTTTTCTTCCCCCTTTTTTCTCTAATCTGTCAAGCTCCTTTCAACAACCAGACCAAAACACACCTAGGATCCAGCATCATTTATTTCATTTGTGTGTGTGTGTGTGTGTGTGTGTGTATGTGTGTGTGTGTGTGTATGTCTTGTTTTTAATTTTAATTTTTTTTTACCTTATTAATTCCTTTTCTTCCTTCAAAATGACAAAATGAAGGAATCCATCCCAAAAGAAAGAACAGGAAGAAACGACAGCCAGGTACTTGATCAACACAGATACAAGCAAGATGTCAGAAATAGAATTTAGAATCACAATAATAAGAATATTAGCTGGGATCTAAATAGATTAGAATCCCTTTCTGTGGACATAAAAGAAGTAAAAGCTAGTCAGGATGAAATAAAAAATGTTGTAACTGAGCTGCAATCTCAAAATGATGCCATAGTGGCAAGGATGGATGAGTCTGAGCAGTGAATCAGAGATACAGAGGACAAACTTATGGAGAACAATGAAGCAGAAAAAAAGAGGGATACTAAGGCAAAAGAGAACGATTTAAGAATTAGAGAAATCAGTGACTCATTACAAAGGAATATCAAAATCATATGGATCCCAGGGATGAAGAGAGAGAAAACGGGGTAGAAGGGTTAGGTGAGCAAATCATAGTGGAAAACTATCCTAACCTGGGGAAAGACACAGACATCAAAATCCAGGAAGCACAGAGGACTCCCATTAGATTCAACAAAAACCAACCATCAACGAGGCATATCATAGTCAAATTCACAAAATACTCAGGCAAGGAAAGAATGATGAAAGCAGTAAGGGGAAAAATGTCCTTAACCTACAAGGGAAGACAGATCAGGTTTGCAGCAGACCTATCCATAGAAACTTGGCAGGCCAGAAAGGAGTCACAGTATATATTCAATATGCTGAAACGGAAAAATATGCAGCCAAGAATTCTTTATCCAGCAAAGCCGTCATTCAAAATAGATAGAGAGATAAAAAGTTTCCCAGACAAA